TCCAAACAGAGATCCTAAACTAATTGTGTTCACTTGGTATGTTAAATTACATGGGAAACTGTCCAAACTCATTGTTGCCTGTGTCAGATGGAATCATCCGGCTCTCCCCAGTTTTCTCCTAGCTGCCAAACAGATAAGGGAAAGGGTTTTGCGTTGTTCTGCTCTCTAGTCTCTCACCTTATTCTATGTCCAAAAAAACAATCCCCTGTAGGAATACTCCCAATGTAGGCCCTTAGGTCCTGACCCCCATGGCATTTCCCATTGCACCCAACTCCAATTCCTCCAGGAGTTCCTTTTTCGCACCTCTAGGACCCCTTTCGCTCAAGGCCTTGGCAGCCCATACCTTGTTACAGACTACCTATTGGACGGCCACTTCCAAGCAGCCCACATTCTAGGCTTTAGAGATGCTCAAACTCAAGGAATGCCCCCAGCATAGGGAAATATTTTAGGAAAAAAGCCTCCTGGTAGACGTCTCTGGGACACTGGACTTCATTTCTAAGAGCGCTTTTTCACGGTTCCATGTTATTCAACATGGGATGATCCTCTTCTAAGCCAGAAGAAACACCTCTGGAGCGTATCCTTAAAAATTGGAAATTTTCGGGCTTCCCTGGTGGCGCAGTGGTTGAGAGTCCGCCTGCCGATGCAGGGGACACGGGTTCGTGCCCCGGTCCGGGAAGATCCCACATGCCGCGGAGTGGCTGGGCGCGTGAGCCATGGCTGCTGAGCCTGCGCGTCTGGAGGCTGTGCTCCGCAACGGGAGAGGCCACAGCAGTGAGGGGCCCGCGTACCGCAAAAAAAAAAAAAAAAAAATTGGAAATTTTCAAAAGAGACGGGCTGAAAAGGGAAAAACTTAAACTCTATTGTAACATTGCCTGGCCCTTGTATAAGTTGGGGAATGGAGAAAAAATGGCCTGAAAATGGGTCTCTGTAATATCGTCTTGCAATTGGATCTCTACTGTTGCAGGACAGAAAAATGGACTGAAGTTCCCTATGTTCAAGCCTTCATGGTCCTGGGAATTGACTGGCGGTCCAGGGGTTAGGACTCTGAGTTGTCACTGCTGAGGGCCTGTGTTCGATCCCAGGTCGGGGAACTAAAATCCCACAAACCACGTGGGGCTGCCCAGAAAAAAAAAAAAAAAAAACTTTCACATGGCAAAAAAATATCGTAAGTAACATCAAAAGACAAATGATTGGAAGAAAAGTATATCACTTTATAAATCAATATCTTTCACAGTTGAAGGGTTAATATCCCCACTTTA